CGCACGACATACAAAAGGAGAGAATGCGCGACTGTCATAAAATTGATTTTCACATTCGCGCTATATACATAGTTTCTCGTGCGATACACTCTCAATTTTTTCCCTCGATTTACATTCTTCGGGAGACATGTAGCTGCCGAGAAAAAGAAAGCTTTCCTCGCGTCATTTAAATTATCGACGATGCATTAACACGAATTTCCGCGACGTTGCTGATGACGGCACATGCTTTTTCACGAGGACGACAGAAAGCGTCTACGAACGATAAAAAGTCCCGGTCGATCTGAACTATAAAAAGACGCATTATCAATCTCACCGGATATCGTACGAAAGAGAAAAACGTACAGAGAGGAAGAGAAAGAGAGACTGCAGGTGTGTTACGAAGAAGTCGCAAACTTTTATTGCAGAGTTGGTAGAGGATGGAAAAGAGTGACCCAGAAAGTGAGAGACGGTCTCAGATACTACCTGCGAATCCGTGTCGCGCCTTAAAGAATCTCGGCGTACATCGCGCTAACGAGAATGTACAAAGACATAGGAGTTGTCTAGAAATAAGAATGTAGTTTATAGGCTTACCAAAAAAAACGCAAAAAAAAGAACATCTAAATCAGAGAGAATAAGAGAAAAAAATGATAAAAAAAAAAGAGTAAAAAAATTGGAATGTAGTTGTCCTATTTGAAAAGAATACAAAGGAAAACCTAATAAATGAGGCTGCAAAAAACCAGACACGGTTTCTACAAAGAGAATGTAGGTAGACGAGCTAGATATAGTGATAGAGAACACACATTTCGAACACTTGCAAATTGATAAATCCAGTCTTAATAAAAATTATCACATCATAATATCCAGCATTTATTTGCTACAATAATGGCAAAAAAAGATGAGGTAAGAAAAATGAATGCCGAACAGAGTGATCCCCAAAGATAACTAAAAGCGAAATGGATACAATAAGATACATCTATAACGATCAGTTGCATTTTTCACAGAACCAATATTGCGACGTAGAAAAAGTAAAGGTATTTTTAAAGATGGCGTTAGGACATCGACTGTTAAAACGGTGCTTGATCAAAGTGAAGTCTCCATACACCGGTAACATTTCTCCGTAAAATCAAACGCGTCTTATTGAAATTCCACTTGTGTAATGATAGGAGAAAAAAAGAAAAAGAAAAACTATGTTATATTGGGACAAACATAATTATGTATGCGATTCTCAAAGAAAAAGAGATCCAGAATAAACGTAGAAAATTTAAAACACGACGACGAGAGGTCGCACAAGAAAAAGAATAAGAAAGTTTTCTTCGAAAGAAGCGAAAGATTGAATAGAAGGAAACGAGGTCATTCGCGAATATTTTCTGAAAGTTCTGCATCATGTATGGGCACGATATTAAGCAAATATTAAATATTTTTCAAATATTTTTGAAAGTTAAAGTATCACGTCAAACTTTTCTCCGCTGCCCCCCATGGAGAATCAAAATTAATATTTGTAAAATACACAATTCCGAACATCGAATGTTACTTAAGCGAAATGGAGTAATTTTTGAAAGAGTAATAAATATTAATACGCTAGTGATAAATATTCATGTGTATGATGGTTTCTTGTGTGCAATGTTAAATATATGCATATCTATAATTGATTTATTAGTTATACATTATTTTATATTTGTAGCAAAATTTTAAATTTATATTAATAATTGTTAAAATAACGTATATATATCCCGATTACATTATAATATAATATTTACATAATAATAATATTAAATAACAATATTTACATAAGAATGTTTTTATCTTTGTAGCTTTTTACTTTACCTGACATTGAACAAAAATCCAGAAATTTCCAAATTTCAGTTGCATCGCAGTAATACCGTGATTTTTCATGAAACGTGACAAAGTCAACATTAAACATTTACCCCATGGTCGGCTACGTTAATGATCAAAAAAAAAAAAAAACTAGCAACATACAAATATAGCGGGGATAAAACGTCGCAAAGAATCATGTGCGAAAAATATGAAGATAAACCTGAGTAAAGAGAAAGAAGAATGAGGAAGAAAAAAGGCGAGAAAAAGACCAAAAATATAATGGAGAAGGAACATAAAAATAATTATGGCATTATTCGCAGGGGTGCATTGCGGTGTCGGTGCAACGAAAAAGAGACAGAGAAGGAGAGAGATGGACAGAACGAAGTGCATGGAAAAGAACATCGGTGGCTGCTGCTAAACAGAGCGACGCGCAGTGAAAGGAAGAACGAGCAGCGCAAACGTAGAAAGGAAGCCCTCCTTAATAAAAGACAAGGGAATATCAGCGACCTCACGCCTGGTCGTGACAACGACGTCCGCATCCCATTCGCTTCAGCATCCTTTGAGCGAGAAGCCATCGTTGCCTCCCTTCGCGTTCGCGCCCCGTGCGTACCCTCACCCGTTCCATGACCCGAGATACAACCCCTGAATCCAGTACAATCCGACAGTATAAAGAGAAAGGGAGATTATATTCCGTTGTGTGTTGTCCCTGTCTTTTCACGTCGCGCGCCCGCGTATATACTCTCTCTCTCTCGACTAAACAGGCCATTTCATCATCGCGCGCAATGCGTTTCCGTGTGTTTTTTTTTTTTGTTTTTCTCCTTACAATTTTTATCGTTTTCAAAAAGCTGACATAACAATTTAAAAAATGCCACAAGCTCAATGCAATTGCGACAGTGCAATTTTCAACCAAATTTTTTAGCTCTTTGTTACTCAATCACATTGAAATTCTACTGTCGCATATTTTTTAAAATACGATTGAATTCGTCCGAATCTATATATAAATATATATATAATTTTATTTTTTTCTCATTCGTGCAAAGAGAAGATGCGACCTTATACTTTGTAACAAAAATAGTGATCTATTTAATATATATTCCTCTTTTAATCATATAAACCATATTTTCGTAAGCATATAAGAATATATATAGAAAGCTTTTTCCCCGATAATGTCGCGTGAGAAAAGCAAAATAGGTTTTCGCGGCAACTTTTATCGTAAGAAAACCAAGAACGTTTTCACACGACTCATAAAATCGAACGTAAATGTTCCTTCCTTACTTTCTCGAGTTATAGATACGAGGGAGATGTATGCTTCCTCTCGCACAATTCGCTATCTCGCGAGCAACTTCCATGCACGCACGCACGATTCGCGAAATATGCTCACGCGTGCAATCTATTTTAGGAATGGCTGCTTGCGAGAGAAATAGTCTGCGATTGTACACGCGTGTTGATACATGCGCGGAATTAAGGGCGCAAGGGAAACGGATACATGTGAAGCGAGACAAGGAGAGAGAGAGAGAAAGGGATATCGATGCATGCGCGTGACCCCGATTCGAATCAGCCGAAATGCGAATCTCTCCGAGAGAGAAAGAGAGAAGGAGAGACAGACGGAGAGAGAATTCAGAGGCACTCGGAAAATAATTAGACCCATCGAGTTCCGGTGCACGGTCTAATGAGAGGCTTCCTCGGGCGGATGCGACGGAATCTCCGCGATCTCCTCGCGCGGAATGCTAATCGCCCGCAATTATGCGATTGCATTTCGAGAGGGAAGAGAGCGGACGCAAAAAAGACGCGAAACAGGAAATTTATATTACATTCGCGTAATCTTTTATTCCGAGCGCGCGCGTTGCGCTTCAAACGCTAAAGACAGATTTGAATATCGTTTTATCTCTGAAATTCGTCATGTATGCAGAAAACAGTCTTTCAAAATGTTCGATAAAATATTTTCTTTCCTTTTCGTACGACGAGAATTTTGGAAAAATCCATGTGTATGTAGATTACTCATTACAGGGCTCAGTGTCAAATCGGACCTTTATTTAGGCATATTTCTATATTTTTATTACGCTTTTTTATCGAAATTTTCTTCTAATTTATAAAAATATAATTAATATAATTTGTATAGACAAATTATATAACAAAAGATATAGCTTTATATATATATATATATATATATATATTCATGTTTATAAACTTTAGTATATTCCATTTAAATTGTTCTGCTACCATTCAAATTCTACTATACTTTATTTAAAATGTTTATTGCGCCATAATTTGAACTCTCTTGTCGAGTTTAACGCTAAACGATAAATATTACTAAAAATTTATTTAAAAGAAAGAGAGAAAATTGTATTCATGCATTGAAATCTTTAGTGCGCCGTAAAATCATATTTACGTTGGATAAAAGCAGCTATAAAATGCTCTAGATTAATTCTGATTATAAGTCTCTATTGCGCGTACGTGCATTATTGGATTGCATAGCTGAAATCTTTCATGTCGACGCAGCAGTCAAATTATGCATTTATCGCTCATTACATGATCATCTTACTCTTAGCATGATAATATCGATAGAATTTCACAAAAGGCAGAAAATGTAATAACGGGTGAAAAGCCAAGTTAACGTATGCCTTCATTTAGGACACATAAAGGCAATATCGTCATTAAAATTTCCTGCATCAAAATTGCAGTTAAATTATGCAATCTATCATACATTACTGACCCGCTCCCTATACTATCGTAAAATTTAATAAAAATTGGCAAAAGGATATTTATGTGCGATTATGTAAATCCACAAACTTTCTATATGAAACTAATATGTATAAATTACATCTCCGCAACCCTTTATAAATCGATGAAATAATTAAAACACATAATATAAAGATGATATGGATCAGTCAATTATAAAAAATTAATGTGGAAAAAATTCGAGAATATAAAAGCAAGTGCAATATAATTATTCCAAAATTTTCGAAACTTGATTAACGTCACATCCCGCATAAATATTTCAAATAGTACTTATAAATTTATAAGCACTTTTTCCCGAGAAATGTTTCATTTTTCGATACCAAAAATTTAATTTGACATTTAAAAACAATATAATTCTGACACGTGGTTATAAATTACTCCTAAATCGCTTTGCATAATTAACACTGCGAATTCTTATTCGCAGAAGCAGAATAATTTGCGAAATAAGGAAAAAACCAGCCACTTACGTGTTGCGTCCGATGTTTCGGCGAACAGCGCGATCGAGAGTAATCCAACCACGAGGAGAAGCGTGGTCAGGAAGAACGATCCCGAGCTGCAGCCCATCACGGCATCACTACTGATCACCACCCGATTCGCGATTCACAGTAGTTCTCACGCCGGATATCACCGACGGCGTGTCTCGAACTCTCGGCGACGCGAGAGACGACTCGTCTCTTCCCAGCTCAACTGAGCTCGAGGATCTCACTGTCAACCTCGCGGCGAAAACGTCCAGCTGTCATCCGCGCGCGAGAGTCCGCTCGAGCACCACCACCACCACCACCACCACCACCACCACTATCACGAATGTACCGAGCGCGCGATTCAGCATCGACGATGCACCGCCGGTGCACGAGGTGACTGCGGTCTCGCCGCGAGTAAACCGGACATTAACCCTTGCTTTGCGTAGCGCATATCTCTTCGTGCGACACCACCGCAGCCTCTCTTCCTCGGCTCTCCTGTTTCGCGGAGAAAATCGCCACTTCACAGACCGGACTCACAAAAGTCGAAAGAAAGGAAAAATAAATGCGAGATCTGCAATGAATCGGCGAGCCTCGCGTCAGGAAATCCGACCAATTTCCAGACGCGAATGGCTAATAATAATGATCGTTACGGAAAGAGGATCACGACAACGCGGAACGCCCCTTCGAGTTGCGGTGAATCGGTTGATTCACTGCCGCCGAATGCATAAGCCCCGCTACTTGTCGGACTTTAGAAGATCCCGGATCGAATTCCCCCGGGCGTAATGTCGACGTGAAGGACTCGTTAAACTTGGGCACTAAAACGCTATTGTAAGTGACGCGAGTCAAATCACCGGCTAAATTCACTTCCACGAAGAAAGAGCTCGTTTAGTGTTAACGTGTGTATTGTTGGACTAGATTTATTTCCTCCACTTTATCTATCTGCCGCTTACTTTAACGGAGCGATGCGGAAATCATTGTTTATCCCGGAATAAAGCGATTTTTAAACTAAATAGAAAAAAAAGTCGCGCCCATTAGAGTAAGTCATTGATGTTTATTCAAAATAATCATAAAAAGCGCGATTAACAGTTGTAGTCAGGAGAATGAATTTATCACGTTGTCCAATTATGCGAACAGCACAAATGTTCGATTTAACAGCAGAAATGTTTATTATAGATTATTTGCTTTATTGAAATGAACACGCCATTTATACCCGATTGTAATCCACACGTGTGTATAAACGAGTATCAAAATCCGCGGCAAAGTGCGCGCATACGTAATATGTAATACCGCTGCGAGAGAGATCGCGATTATATTCAACAATAACACAACGCTATGCGATTGATCCGCGATTTTTAACGCAATTTCGCAGAACGCATCCGAAATAGTCGCCGAACGCGCGAAATTGCCACCGAATGATCGCGATGTATCAATTAATGCGCGGTCGCTTTTATATACGGTATACGCGCGATTATGTAGAAAATTATGTTTCCACAATCGTGAAAATGGAAATGTCGGGCGCGAGTCATTTAACGTTTGATTTCCGCACCGCGATGATTTACGCGGCTAATTGAGGTATGTCGGGGAGGCTGCGCCGTCGGTCGCCAAAATCTGGTTCTCGCCGAAGGGCCGAACAAACGAGCGATTCCGAGCATTCGCATTGGACGGGGGCATAAATCATCTTCGCGTTTCACGCAAACGGACGGTCTTTTAAATTGATCGCCCCGGTTGGTCGCTCGTACTTGTAGATTGATACACCGATACGCGCCCCGGCATGCCTCGAATATTAAAAAAGCCGGCCATAAATTATCTCGTTCTCGATATCGGCGCTGAATATACGCTCCGACTGACGTCGGAAAATTCGCGTAATTAGAATAATGTAGGATAAATCGAGAGAGAGAGAGAGATCGATATTATTTTTCGAAATAATTGAAAAAACCCATCTCCCTCGTGTTATGTCTGATCTCAATAGGGGTAGTTTTTTCTTTCTCTCTCTTGTTTTACGCAGGACCGATATCACGCGAAGAACATTTCTCCAGCGATTTTTCACCGCGACGATCCTATATATATTCTAAAACAACAATGACGAAACGGGGTTATTGGAAGTTTCTGTCGTAAAAATTAACGCTCCTCCGAACTTACGTCGTAATTCCGGCTTTCGATCAATCGCGCGCGCTTAGTGTGCAAATATTGATATTTGATATTACGAAGAGGAGAGAAGCGGAGCGGAATCTCTCGTCAGGACGGATGTCCAAAACTTAGGAAAGTGGGTCACGACGCGTATTTAAGCAGCCCGGTATCGGTTTATTCCCACCTGCAATCGCCGGCCCGCAAACCGGAGTACACAAACTCCCTCGTGCATATGCATGGCGCGGTCGCTTTGTTCGCGACGACCCTTGAACCGTCCTCTCTCGTCTCTACGCGTGTTGTTCCTGCGCCACGATTGTTCTCGTAGCCGCCGATGCAAGGGCTCGTTCGTCGCATTCTCCCCCTCCGCCCTCCTCCACCCCCTGGTCCAGAGACTGGGAGTAAAATCACGCGTGCGCTTTCCCTCCTTCTCGCTCTCTCGGTCGTGCTCCAAAAAAGAGAGACAGAGAGAGAGAGAGCGCGGATAAATATCCGACAACATGTACTGTCGACATTTATTTTAAGAACAAGCTACGCGTCACGGACAGCGAACTACCATTTCGCTCATAAATCCCATCGGCGTCAAATCACAGCTACAAATTCGTATGTATTTTTTTTTTTTCTTTTTTCAGGCTGGAGGAAAGAGCGAGGTTGAATAGAGAAGGATGATACGCGACCCCCTGATAACGTGGCTGCGTCGGGTATCGTCAGCCTGTCGGGCCTGTCGTCGCGTGTTTCCAAAGCTCGTTCTCAAGCGCGCTAATGGAGGCAGATAACAAAAAAAAAAGGAGAGAGAAAAGCGAACGCGTCGCGAAAATCGAAATGCATCCGCGAGGCAGCGCGAGCGCGAAAATAATCGAGAGGGGCTGATTCCACCCTACCTACCCTACCTTCGAGAGGCACGTGACGGGCTTTCGCGATCGGCACGCGAATTCCGTCTGGAGCACGTGACGGTTGATCTCTTGCGCGAGAGAACGATTGCTATTCTCGCGTTTTTTCGTTCGAGAGCATCGCGCTCTTTCCAGCTCCGAAAATCGTTCGCGCGATTCGAGAAAGTGTCATTTGTTACACGCAATTGTGCGATCGAGCTCTCTCTTCGTCATCATCACTGTCAAGTATTACAGCGTTTCTATTAGAGAAAGAGAGAGAGAGAAAATTCACCGAGATCTCTATCTCTCTCTCTCTCCGACATTCAGACTCCAACCCTCGAAAATCTTTCTATCGAACACACGGGGGGTATCCGTCCCTTCTCACCGGGAAACCGGTTAAACGAGCTCCTAAAATGACGAGAACCTTTTCGACACACTCCGTGAAAATGAGTCCTTCCTCTCTCACGGCACAAAAGCGAGGACGAGCATAATTCGACGACGCACTTGAGTATCGGAGTAAATCCCCGGAGTGCAGATTCCACAACACAGTTCTCGGCGTTCTCGCAGGGACGTTGCTCGTCGTCGCGAACAAACGTAACGTTTCGCGCGCCAAAAAAAAAAAAGAACGGACGAACTCGCAACGCGACGAGGGAAAAACGAGCGGATATATACTCGAAACGGTGTACTCGGATTACGAATTACGCGGAGATGCGGCCACGATCAGCGAGCTCCGAATGCGCGCGTCGCGCTCTCTCACCTCTCTGGCTCCGCTCTCGGGACTGAGAGTGCGGAGAGAGAGAAGCATCGTCGGACTTTCGAGGGATTCACTGCCACCCCTACCGGCGTGGTGGCCGATGCCCCTGCCTGCCTCTCGGAAACCCGCTTCCCCTTCCGCGCCGATCCCACCACCACGTTCTAGCGCCGCTACACCCCACGCAACCCCTCGCCCATCATCCCCCTCCCTCCCGCACCCCGCGCTCGATCTCGTAGAGAGGAGAAACGACGCCACCCTGGGCGCTTCTATGCGGCCTGCACATATATTCCTGTCGAATCGCACACCCTCGAGAATGTTTACGATATTATGTAATTATTATATTATATTTTATATATTATATAATATATATATCTTGTATTATATTTTATATAATATAATATATAATATATATACCAATACATATACTGATATTATATATATATATATATATATATATATATATATATATTATTGTTACGACGCCACCCTGGGTGCTTTTATGCGGCCTGCACATATATTCCTGTCGAATCGCACACCCTCCAAATGTTTACGATATTATGTAATTATTATATTATATTTTATATATATATATATATATCTATATATATATTTATATAATATATATATAATATAATATTTATATAATATATTTTATATAATATAATATATATATATAATATATATTTATATATATAATATATATATAATATATATATATATCTACATATACAATATAATATATATGTATATTATATTATTGTATAATGAAATATATATGTGACGCCGCCGTCTGGGCTGCAGCATCTCAAAAGGACCTGATTATTTCCCTAAATGAAGCGATCAAATAAATTGCAGAAATAGAACGCTGACGTGTAACAAAATAACAGAGTCGACGATTGTTTTTCTCAATTGTTGTCGAAATAGAAAGCTCCTGAGATTATATATTGCTATCGACAACACACATAGGCCGACCATCGCCATTTTGAAATGAATTGTAAATCATGCAAATGTAATACACATATATTCACTCACCGCGTATACCGCCACAGGTAGCCGATTCATTAATGATTTCAGGTTGAGTCATTCCTACGATCTAATGATTTTCCATCAAAGTAATTCCAACAGGAAGCAAGGAAGTCTCACACACGCGCGATACCAAAATGCATAATGTAATAGTCACCGTTAATTACTCTATACAATAATCACTTGATATGCCGATAATTTACTCGACTCAGAACACTTTCCACGTTCAATTAAACACGCGGCACACACTGAGCGATATAATAATGATCGCGAATCGAGCATTTCGACGAAAAAACATCTAATAACGCACAGCGCGTGCGACCCGTGCGAGCGAAATTCCGCGACTGTGAATTTTAAAGCGCTACTACTTTATAATAGGACTACTTTGCGCTCTATTTGCGATAATAATGATATATATAATGTGTCCGACGATGAGAATCTTTTACATTATTTCGATTTGAAGTCCGGTATTTCAATTATAATGGAATTAAATGCTCGCGCCGAACGCATAGTTCTTTAAGCGGCCGCGAGAATGCGACACCGACCAAGTAAGCAAGCGTATACGTGGCGGAGTGATATAATAATATGTAGAAATAATATCATTTTTTATAATATTATTTATACATGTATATATGGATGATACAACTTTTTCATTATATAATATAATATATATACATTATATTATATTAATATATATATTAATATATATATATATATATATATATATATATAACATATAATATAACATAAAATAATATACATATAATATAATAATTAGGTAATATCGTAAACATGACAATTAGCACTTAACATTTAACAAAACGGAGTAATGGACTCATTCCGTTTCGTTAAATATTAAATGCAAATTGTCATGTTTAATAAAGACATTATTTAAGAACTTCGTTATAATGCTCGCAAAAGGCCTCATTTACTAATTATTTATAAGACGAGCTTTCAGAATACTTTCATTAATGATCATTTTATTTTCTGAAATATTAATTATTTTAAATTTTCACTACATAATTTCCATGTATTTATATTTTACAGTTTACAACTTCGCTGCTGCTCTTTGTATCGGTCTTTCATCAATTTTTACTTTAATTTTGGATGATAATTTTGTAAAAATCCTCTTCGATTTTGTCGAAACTTTACAATGTTGTGTACTTTTATGCGTGAAACACGAATCTGTAGATTAAAATCTGTAGAGAGGAACCTATTGTAACTTTTTTCTTATTTAAAAACGACAATTTAAAATTTTTTAATTTTTAGATTTGTATTTTACTCACAAAAATACATAATTTTATAAAGTTTCAGCAAAATCAAAGAGGACGGAACTTTCTTCGGTATTTACTGAATTTTACTATAGGTTGAATTATTCAATTATTCAAAATAGTAATTTAGTTGAACGATTCACTCAATAAGTTAATAATTTTTGTCTCAGTGTTGTGTGAAGAGTGTTGTATAATTCTCCTCTTAACAACTAAATTGGAAGGAGACTTATAGTCGCGATCAATCGTCGCTTGAATAATTAAAAGTTGTATACACTCATTAGCTTGATTCACTTACTAATGATGGTCTAAAAAATGAAACGTATACTTATAACATTAATTAACAAATTTTCAAAGAAAAAAAGAAAGCTAACGACGCCTAACTCCTAATAATCCATTTTCTTATTATTAATTGAATATTTTAACGTATCAAGATATATAATTTTTGAAACAAAGATTTTAACTATTATATATGTTAATTAACTTTTTCATAATTTTACGCTTGATAAAAAGTATAACGTTATTCACCTGTTTTTTCAATATTATTATAACACAAAGAATCATTTTATTAGTACTTTATTATATTTTTAAACCTATATATATATATATATATATATATATATATATTTTATTTTTGAATTCCTGGGAGCAACAATTGAAATTTTCATAGTCGCTCTTTAGATAATATAATTACGTTATGTCACTTTTTCAATATTTTTAATAAATAAGCATAACGTCTATGATCATTACGAGTATAAAATTTGTACACTTATTTGTGATATTAATTGGCAAAAGAAACTTTTTCTTCTTTCTCGAAAGGAATTCGAATAATTTAAGTCTTCCAAAAAGCGTTGACTTATAAGGTTCGTGCTTAAAGTAAAATTGAACGACAGTAATAGCTCACAATTAGCTAAGAGACATCTGGCGCGGCAAAAAAGTCAACGAGGACAAATGCGCGCTTAAAAAGCGACATTGCTTCTTTCCGTCGCGTTCACTAAAATAACTCCGAGGCCGAAGCGATGATGCTTTATTTTTCGGTCGAGAACGACAAGGAGACCCGGGCTCGACGCCGACGGACAGAAGGACTTGTCTTAACTCCAATCACGTCCCGGGAAAAACTCCGTCTTGCCTCCAGGGTGCCATTTCCTATTTTACGATATCTACAGGGTGCTATAAACAAGCTCTTCGTAGGGACGACGTCGGGTATGAAAGGAACCGAATGCGGCAAGTCGGAGAAAGGCCCTCGGATGAAAAGTTTGCTTAAAGTGTGTAGCCCCGCGTATTCTTTGACGATGCAGGGATTTAGAATCATCCCCGGGAGTATCACTCGCCAACCGCGAGTTTTGCATACACCGTCCCAACGCGAAACTTCACAGATACACCGTCGTCTCATGAATGATCCGCAGGGATCGTACCATTACAATACATATATACACACACATATGTATATATATATATATATATATATGTAGCACGAGTTCCATTATTGCTACCTTACAAAAGTATCGGTTAAAATGCAAGTTTCGTTGCGTGAAAGGTAAGGCCGAGTTTTGAATGCTATTATGATTTAAAGGCCATATACGCGCGTGGTGCGACATTAACACCAAATTTCAATTCAAGTCGCGTATACGCTTTCCGTCATTATTAATTCTATAGTTTCGTATTCCGCTGCTACCACAGCTATTAATCTGAAAGACAGCTTTTATTAATCCGAAGCGGCATTTATTGCGGTAAGGAACTATGTGAAAGGGTTTTTCTACCCCTATTTTTGTATAAAAACAAATTCCAATTGTGTAAATCTCAATCTCTCAATTTTGTTCACTATTTGAGTTTTATGTATTGAAGAAGACTGTAGTGCAATCGAAACGTTTACGTTGTATATTGTTTCTCTAATGGAATGAGAATTGAATTATTAATAAATCTTTATATCTTATGTAATTTTGCTTGTTTAGCTGGCCTACAATATTTATTTCTTTCAATTTTGTTTACTTAATTCGGGGAAAAAATAGAAATAAAATGGAATCTCACAGCGAGTGGTAGCTGGTACTATGGCAAACTTTATGACCACTTTTAGGATTCTCGTCCCGATTTATTCATATTCGTCCTACATATCGCGTAAGGGCCTGCTCTACTGGCGACTACCACCGAGTTTCCCATAGTCCACTGTAAAGTTCACTGTCGGTGCCCTTTTGTCAAAACAATGTGCGCTGCAAATGCAAGCATATACGCGTGTGCGCGGCCACACTTCCTAGTTCGCCGATATTAACATCTTCGTCGACGCTATAATTTTCGTCGGGTTGATATATTGCGGCGTCTCGTTGTGCGGCGGTGGCCGTATTACGGCTAATATTTCTCCTCCTTACAGAACGAAAATTGAGTACTTTATAAGGAGGCGGGACATTAATAACTCGTACAGCCGGCCGGTATTTTCAGGACAGCTTAAAAGCTTCTGCCGCATCGATGATATATCGTATGCTCGCAAAAGTAGTGACACGGGCTCTGCCTGCAACGCGTAAAAACTTGCGAGTTTGCGACAAAGAGGCGAACAAAATTCTCGTCTCGATTTGTATTTCGCTCGTTGATGCTACATTAACCAGGCTCGTTTATGCGTTAGGCACGGTTTGCAGGTTGCTTAGAGCTTATAAATGCCTGAAGAACCTATGGAAATGTTCCACACAATCTGAAGGAAAAGAGTTTATTGATTTTTAAATACGAAAAATAACGCATTATTTAATATGCATGTAATGAA